GTATAACATCACCGAGACACCAACCCTTTTCGAAGGTTGCATGCATGACACTACTAGAATCACCAAGCTCCATCTCGGTCATCTCCACGATCCCTCACCACCATTGGCCAGCCTAGCTCCCTACCATGCCCTATCTTAGCCTTTTTCCCACTGCTTCATCGCGATTCCAAGACGTCAATGCCATTGCCAAACTGCATCTCTGTCACTCACTCATATGCCAAAGCATTCAGGGGAGAATCAATCTGGCGCCTTGCTGTGCCGGCATCTCATTCCCATCCCACGAACTCATCTTACTTTAGGCAAAAAGGCGTGCAGGCAGAGGTAGTGACGAACTGACGAGCTTAGACCCCGTCTCCAACAACCGCGACCGAAATACAAGATCTATTCGTCATTTGGGTGGCGCTTCTGCAAAGGGTTCAGTACCTATTTTTTTGTCTTCTCCAATAACAAGACTCAAAAGACAACCCTTTCTACAAATAGGTCTCCAGGAGAGAGGATACTCAGATTTGAATTATGTCTCTCCTGGTACCCAAAATAGGTCTTCCATATAGGTATTTTGTTGGAGACTTTGGGTATTGTGTTGGAAACCCATTTTGAATTTGGGTTCCCCAATAAATCTCCTGTTGGAGACAGCCTTACCAGGCCATCAGTGCTGTATGAGTAGGGAGACCTGAATAAGCAGCAACTCTTCTTTTCCAGGACACAATTGCTCGGTAATGGAGTTCATTATTTGTGTGCATGCTGCGCCTTGGCCTGGCTGGCCGCTGGCATATACGAAAGCGACGTTCTAGTTCTTTCACACGTAGACCTCCCATCAGGTTTGAGCTCGATCCATCTATTCGATCACGATCAGGGACCCTCCATCTGCTGCTGGTTGTTGTTGCAGATAGTAGCTGGAGAGACGTACTGGTGGTTAGGGTGCCAATGTAAAGCACTGTTGCAAAGTTGCTGCAAGTGTCGATCGTGTGAGAGTGGATTCGACGTGTAAAGGAAGTTGAGCCCTGCGAACGAACGAAAAGAAGATCGGCAGACGACGGATGTGGGATCTGCACTTGGACGGTTTATGCGGAGAAATGCTCGCGCACGCCGCACGAATCTAGCAGCCGCAGGTTTCCTCTTGATTCAGCATCCAGCAATGGCAATGATGAGTGGACAAGTGGATATCTTTTCCATGCGACTCATTCCTGATTGGGTTTTGTTCATTTGTCAGCCGCAGCAGGCCGTGATAATTTATCAGCTAGATAGGCCTAGCGCTTCTGATCTCTCATTCTCTCCTCCACAAGATCGTCCTGGTGATCAACTTGCTGATGATCTCCTCCTTCTCATGCATCATGGAGTAGTTGTGTATTTTGTTACTCCACTTGAAAGTTTAAACGCAAACATGAGTAATGACTGGTTTTTCCTAGAAATTGCAGTGCAACGTATTATTAGGTCTCGTTCGGTTGTGCAGGAATCATCTCCTGGAAAGATTCCTAGCTAGAATTATTCCTACCACAATCCTAAATTAACTTGAGTGTCCAAAACCACCAAGGACAGTGCTTAAATCGCCAAGAAAATGATACTTGGCCACAAACCATCAAACAACCTCTGTCAAGGATAAAAGACAAGGGAAATTAGTTTCCTTGACGGTTTTGGCATTTAAGGATGATTTTCTTGGAAGCTAGCCGCCAAAAAAATTAGGACCATACTTAATTTGCCAAAAGAACAAGAAAATGTTACGACCGTTAAGTAAATTAGTTTTTAAGAGGGCCAGCAACCTTCAACAAAATATTCCTAACCGCCAAAGAAATTAGTTTCCTTGAGGGCAAACGATGAGAAGCGTACATGACGTCTTCAGAGTGGTCGTTGCCGAAGCGGACAACTGGATCCAGGCGGGGTTCAAAACGCTGCTGCCCTTCAGTGCTGTTTGGCCGCAAAATACAGTTCCATTGTAATACAAACCGTTTAATCCAGTAGACAGGACTTCTAGGGGCCTTAACGATGGTGTCTCGCCACCGTTTTTGGTCGCTTGTGTAAGGGCTAAAACTTTCCTCTTAACGAAAAACGGGTATAATATACCTGATTGAGAAAAAAAAAAGTTTCCTTGAGAGCCAGCAATCTCCAAGGAAATAAAGAGCAATAGAAAAAAACATAAATCAATGAAAGCCGTGCCTGAAAAACACTTACCACTACACCTCAAAAGCAACTTATGACTAACTGAATTATTTTTTCTATTGTACTCACTTTGTTGAATCCTGTAATGGATATTTGATATTCTAAATGATTTCAAATGTAAAAAGCTCGAACTAAAAAGTTTTAGATTTCTTTGAACACTATAACTTTGGTTTAGGTCATATCTGCATCCGAGGTCATTTCGAAAATTCAAAAAATTTGAATTTTAAAGCTCCGAGAATTTTCTTGGGGGTTTCAAATTACACTCAAGAAAATATGAATTACCTAGGCGGTTTCAAATAGCACTCAAGGAAATACGAATTACCTTGGCGGTTTCGAGTAACACCCAACGAAATGGGTAATTACCTTGGCGGTTTGTAATAACACTCAAGGAAACATGGAACTACTTTTGTGGTTTGATTTAACACTCAAGAATATGCATTTTCTTGGAGGTCTATGTCTGCAGCCAAGGAAACTACACTTTACTTTGCAATTTTGTTTTGGCCCTCATGGAAATCTTTAGCACTCAAGGTAATTCAAGATTGTGGGAGTGCTAGGCGCATTCTAAGATAACCGAACCAGGATATCCCCACCTACAAATAAAGTGGATCACCAGAAAGCTAAGTGGACTTCTGATGATACTTCATGTAACCAATAAAGATCTGATAGATGCGTGTTGTTAGAGAAGTAGCCAACGGATAATTGCATGAAAAGTTCGTATTCTAAAGGTAATGAAAACTGGCATAGCAGAGGTGAAGACTATATGCTGATTTTTCTTTTTACCATTTTTAGTTGCTAAGATAAGAAAAAATAATAAGCTTCTATGCTCTCTTACAAATTTATTTGTCCAAACTCACCCGTCTTTGGGATTGGTGATGAACTTAAACTGGTTGATCGATCACTTAATGCTACAACAAACTATTTTTTTAAAGAAATATTGTTCATGTTTATCAGTCTAGTCCCAAACAAATAAATGTTATGTCGTTTATTTCATCCTATATCTATTGACATATTGGGTTTCAGGAATGTGCTATACATAAGTCTGTATTCTTATAAAGATTTTTGTTGATGTTCTGAGCATATTGGGTTTCAGGAATGTGCAAAACTCATTTGTGACATGACTCTAATCATTTCCTATTTATTGCTTAAGCTTTGCAATCTGCAAAATGATCCGTCTAAATGCTGGTATATACAGAAGGCAACAAAATAACATTTCTAATACTTAGTGGAGTATATATCTATGTCCACCGAGCAGTTAAAAAAATTCAGGGTTACGCCATACATGCATCTGAACTATATACACTGTAATAATGCTAGTTGAGAGGAAGTAATAGTTTGGTTCTCACGAGAGAAACTTTGTACTCCGTCCGTTCCAAATTATAAGTTATTTTAGCTTTTCTAGGTATATTGCTATGCGCGCGCGCGCACACACACACACATATATATATATATATATATATATATATATATATGCATCTAGATATATATTTTGTATAGATATATGACAAAAATAATATACCTAGAAAAGTCAAAATGACTTATAATTTAAACGGAGAGAGTATATACCTAGGATGTTTTTTTTTTACTTGTAAAGCGCAGCACTCGAGTTCGCCACACCATGCCATTCCCATGTATCCAGTTGGTTGCAACAAGGATTCCACCAAGGCACCAACTGATGTATGCACGCTTTTCAGACGCGACAAAAGTTTGGACCAGTGAAACACCTGGGGAAAAGTTACTCGAGTATTTTACAACTTGATAGTGTGATACACACAACCGCGCTCATTTATCATACAAGCGAATAAGCGATTACAACTTGGGATGCTAAGATAGTAGAGAACAGACCTTTCATCCGATGCTAAAATGGGCTCTAGTCCTGGTATTTTTTGCGCCCGGGACTAGAGAGACCTTTAGTCCCGGTTGGTGTCTCCAACCGGGACTAAAGGTCCCTGCTCAACGGCTACTGCGCTCGGCACAGTGGCAGAGTACCTTTAGTCCCGGTTGTAGACACCAACCGGGACTAAAGGTGGACCTTTCCTCCCGGTTGGAGCCACCAACCGGGACTAAAAGTCCTCAACTTTTAGTCCCGGTTGGTAACACAAACCGGGACTAAAGGTAGACCATTTAGTCCCGGTTGGTAACACCAACCCGGACTAAAGGACCCTTTAGTCCTAGTTGGTAACATCAACCGGGACTAAAGGTCCCCTGATGGGTTAGTTCAAAAGGGAAGCATCACATCCATTGTTAGATGTATTGTGTAGGTGGGGTGGTAAGCTACGCGCGAGGCAATGCATGGGGTCTTGGGTTCGAATCTCACGGGACGCAGCGGTGGGAGGCATTATTTTTTTAAAAGCTGGGAGGACTTTTAGTCCCGGTTGGTGTTACCCACCGGGACTAAAGTCCCGGTTCCTGACCCGGGACTAAAGGACCTCCCTTTAGTCCCGGATGCTTACTCCCGGGTGGGGAACCGGGACTAGAGGGGGTTCCCCACCGGAAGTAGTACAATTCAGAAATCAAAGATGATAACAAAAGCAAAACTGCCACGCTTTCAGTTTCAGTTTCAGTTGTTGGGTTCGGTTTTGCGTGCGCCTTGGGTGATGAAACCGGCGTGTTTGGAACGCATGCAGGAGAGCTTTGTAGCGATCGAACTGCAGAATTCTTTCTTCCCAAAAGTTCGTGCCAAAATCTCCATTCCAATTTCCAAACAGCTGCTACCATTTTCCCTAGTAAGTATAGTCTGCTCGTCGTAGCTAGACGAACAGTTGAGACTTGAGAGTTCAGCGCTCGATCAGATGACGACGACACCGCCATCCACCGGAGGCAAATTATTGGGAGTCTGATGAGGCCGATCAAACCGCACTAGCAGCAGCAGCAGCAGCAGCTCCACGTACACCGGAGGATGACCTCACGCCATTGTTCCCGATGTTGCACCCCGCCGCGTCATCTCCAACGACGATCGCTGCTCCGTCTTGCATGGAGGATGCCTGCACTGCCATCGGCAGCGCCGTCTTGGCGTCGGCCTCCTTCTCCTGCGTCTCCTTGTGCTTGCCCCAGAGGACGGAGTAAAGCCCGGGCACGATGAGCACGGCGCCGAGGACGCCCCCGAGGTAGATCTTCTCGGAGAGGATGAAGGAGCCCATGACGGCGACGATGATCATCATGAGCGGGCTGAACGCCGACGCGAACACCGGCCCGGTCTTCTGGATCACCAGGCCCTGCACGTAGTACGCGATGCTCGAATTCACAATGCCCTGCAGGAACGGAACATTCAACAGCTCGTCGTCAGCAAGGAGAGGTCGTCAGCAGCATCATGGCTAATCAGCTCGTTGGATCGTCGTCCTTACGGCGTAGGCGGCGGCGAGCAGGTTCATGTCGAATCCGATGGTCCAGACGGAGGTGCGGCGCTCCATGACGAAGGTGACAACGATGGCCTGCAGCGTGCCGATGAAGCAGACGAGCGTGGTGAGCGACAGCTGCGCCGAGTACTGCTTGATCGTGTGCGTCTGCAGGACGAAGAGGGAGGCCCAGGCGAGGGTGGCGACGATGACGAACACCGAGCCGAGGAACCAGTCCCTGGAGCTGATCTCCGCCGCAGCGGCAGCGGCGGGGGCCTCGGCGCCGCCTCCGTGGACGGCGGGCGACGACGCGTGCCTGCTGGTCCACGCCAGCTGCATCAGCGGGCCCTTGTAGAGCGTCATCAGCATCGCGCCGGCCACGGTCACCACCGTCCCGAGGACCTTGGCCTGGCACCTCACCTTCTTCATCTGCAGCTTCTCCATCCTGCACGCGCCGTCGTCACGTACGATCAAACACCGTTCAGTATCAGATGGTTTGTTGGATGCAGCAGTTAACGTTGTTTAGTTCGTCTGGAAAGTGCAAGTGCACCTGAAGATCACGGCCAGGACGAAGGTCATGGCCGGCAGGATGTTGCTCATCGCGCAGGCGAACGTGGGGCCGGTGAACTTGAGCCCGGCGTAGTAGAAGTTCTGGTCGATCACCGGCCTGCAGAAACGACAACAAGTGAAAACTGTCATTCTCACTCGAATATACACATATATGCCATCACTATCTGTCAGGTTATTCTTGTCAGCCCACGAGATGCATGCATCAACGAGCAGCAGAGCATAGTACTAACCCGAGCATGGCAAGGATGAAGATTTGCCAGAAGATTGGCCACGTCATCTTGGGCCTCACCTTCCTGCAGCCATTAATTTTCCATAGTCGCATCGTGATCAGTGTGCTAACTCGCCAGATAATCGGAAATGCTGATCAGCTACGATCAGACGCTAATAGCCGGACTGAAACTGAAGTGAAGGGCCGGGTAGGTAGGCGGGTACCTCTCGAGGACGAGGGCGAAGGGGGCGATGGAGAGCGTGGCGAAGGCGTGGCGGTAGACGACGAGCACGTAGTGGCTCATGCCCTGGTTCAGTGACAACTTGGTGAGCACGTTCATCCCGGCGTAGCCGAACTGCAGCGAGATCATGGCGATGTAGGGCTTCGCCTTCTCCACGAACCCGCCGCACCCCGCCATGGTGATCCTAAAAGTACTCTTCTCGCTTCTCAACAGAGTCCGGGCTCCTTCACAGGAGGATGGCAATGGCAGGTGATGGTATGGTATAGAGCTCAGAGATCAGGTGACTTCTTGGAGCTGAGACGGGGCAGAGGTGATGGCTGGATTTATAGGGTGACTTCTGGGTCGATCGGAGGAACGAGGAAGGGTGTTTTCGGGTGAATGGTGACATGGTGTCGTCTCTGAGTGACATGTGAGTAAGGTGGGGCCCGCCCGGGCAGTGCTTTGCTGGATTCTTGTAGCCGTATATTCCGAAAACGTAGGCGTGCCCGGGTAGTGGCGCGTGAGTAGAATTCCGGCAGGGCCGGGTTTTTAGCCGAAGGCATGGGTTCAGTTATGTGCCCATGCTATAAAGCTGCTAATGGGTTTCTGCGTGGAGCATCAGAGCGATGGAATGGAATCAGAACGTGATGATGGCAGTGGCAAACCTGCCACCTACCGACTCCCTGGAGCAAAACTGACGCAGAATCGCCTGGCCATCTTCGGTGGGTATCTGCAGTGTAGTGTGTTTTCCTGATGACAATTTTAACCAAAAAAAAAGGAATTTTCGATTTTTTTTCTTGTTGAATAATGCCAAATCAAATAAAAAATATCTAGAAAGTCAAAAGGAAATGAATTAGTTAATTTAGTTAGAAAGAGAAGAGGACTCGCACTTGATTTAGTCGCGCAAGCGAATCCCATTCAATCGTTTACTTATAGAATGATGAGTCCATTGGAAAGTTCGATCATTTTTTTAAAATTGACGGTACGATGACTATGCGCGGATCATTGTTTATAGAGTGGTATTTGATGGGGGAAATAAGTAGTGTGAACTCATCTTTTGATGTAAACATAAAAACTTGTTCAGGATGCGTATTTTGGTCACAAAAAAGATTAAAATGATGCAGACGCATAGTGCATCCATAAATGAGCTTAGTTTCAAACTCATTTAATACAAATTCAAATGAAAAATGACAAATTTTCTGAAATCTTTGTTGCAAACCTTTGTGGCAAGCTCAACACTGTTAGCGGGGGAGCTCGGTGACCATAAGCTTATCTTCGTGGAGCTACAATGTGGAAAAAGGGTTTTGTTTTAGCAACCTTTTATCATGGGATACATCCTCAGCTCCATGAATTTTCATCTCTTGAATTGATTTCTACTTACTGCATTTAAGCTTATGCATTGTGTTTGTTTGTGTGGCACTTACTTTTTCTAAATTAGTATAGGCTACTTCTTATGATTAGGTCTAGGTTGCAAAACTCTTTGCGGGTTTGGATAGGTAGAGCACACTAGAAAAATATAAGGTGGACATCACGTTAGATTAGTTTATTGTTTTCTAGTGTAGATCAAGAAAAGATTTTACATACCCAATTCACCCCCTAAGCCCCTCCCCTTGTTGGGTCTTGGCCTCGCTAGGACTAGAGGTTTCCTGTACAAGGGACTCACCGAGCTCCAACTCTGGCACCTTCTCATCTCCATCCGTGATAGCAAATGAAACATCATTGACTAGGTCCTTGTCATTGCTTCCATCAACAGAGTCTAACTCAATGCTTTGAAGCCCCACTTTTGCTTTCAATGATTAATGAACACAAGGCTTTGTGATCAACGTGTATTTTGTAGGAATTACTCATGTTGTTAGTCACAGTCATGGCCACACGGTACTCTTGGTATTAGATTTTGGATTCCATGCATGGATGCAAAGGATATTCATGGAGGCTACGGATTCTATACATTCTAATTGCGACTTGGTGTTGATATGCACTTAGAAGTAGAATAGATCTTTGTTTTTTTTGTCATACTATTAAGGGGGGTAGAGATGAGTATATTGACCTAGTTTTGAGGCTAGAGTGTTAAAGAGATGCACACATGTGAAAGATCTACCTAGGTAGCTTATGGGTGGCCTTGAAAGGATGAAAATTTGTTAAGGAACTCAAAGAAGTTGAATTGGATTAGAGTTCAAATAGTTTTTTTTTGAAAAAAATCAAGTTTTTTTTGCAAGCTTCATCTGTTTTCTATTTATGCGATTGGTTTGAAACCCGCCAATCTGGAGTGAAGACCAGGTACTCCTAGAGTCCTAGTACAACTTGAGCATTGATGATTGAACGGAGCTTAATCCTTAGGGGTGCTCCAACATGGGCTAAAGGGTTGTGGCAACTATCTGAAACCATGGGGAAAAAATCTTGTTGTCTCTTGTCTATTGTACTTCTCGCATTTACATTTTATTGATCTTATTGTGTGCTTGAAGTATTTGGTGACAACTATGATTTGTTTTGTCTTAGTGTGATCTTTAGTAGCCAGGTTTTCAATTCCCCACCTAAAGACATGTTGCTAGCTAGTGTGATCTTGTTATGACTAGTGTGGCGGTCTTAAGGACTCTCTTTAGTGTTATATGTTTAGTTCTAGGGCTAGTTATATAAGAGGTGATGAAATAGAGTTGTGTTAGGTTAAAGTTGATTTAGTTTTTTATATCCCAATTTACCCCCTCGTGGTTGGACCATTTTGATCCTTATACACCAGCAACTCGGGAATCCTATACTACTTTTAAGTACAGGATGAGTTGGGATGATCTCTATGGAAACAAAATCCCACATTTATACGTGTCTTTAGGTCCTGATATAACAAAAAAAAAGAGAAATGCTATACATTAGCCGGTTGTTTCATTTGCTCAAAATAGCCGGTTTTGTGAACGTTCGTTTTGTTTGTGTGTCTTCATTTCGATCGTCCAATCCATCTTAGCGCGCGGCACCCAGCTCCGTCGTCGTCTTCAGTTTCTGACTGTGGGCCAGCGTGGTTTTTTTGACTTTCTTGGTAGTGGCGCCCAAATTTTCTCGGCCGTTTCCCACTTTCCCGATTCCCCCATTTTCGATTTGGCTCCCCCCGCAACCGAGTTGAGGCGACGCATGGGCGTCTTCGCGGGCGGCGCCGCGCGCTGTCAAGGGTTTCGTCGAGCTAAGTTCCTTTGTTCCCTTCCCATGTTTCTTTTTGGCGTCACCATTGTTTGTATCTGTCGCTGCCTCGAGGATTTCATTTGGTACCAAGAAATCCTCGCCATCGCCGCTCCTGCCAGCGCCGGTGGATCTTGTCTCGACGTGAGGAGGGTTTGCGCCGCCGATTGGAGGGAGTAGTCGTCGTCGGCCTCTGTTGATTTGAGAGAGTCCGCTATATCATCGTGTAAGATCCCTTAGCCACCCGGCTGCTGCCTCAGTCGCTGCTCATCACGATGGGCGCGGGCGTCCCCGGCGGACCACAGCCTGCTCCGTCCATCACCGCTTACCACCAGGACGGGGCGCGTGGTGTCCCCGGCGTGGGCTCCAGGGAGTCGCGCCTAGCAGGAGCCGCACGCTCCAGGCGCCCAAGCACCACTAGGCCTGGAGGAGTTTGTTGGTTTCTGTGACCAAGGAGCTAGATCGATCTCCTTTGTTACATGTTCAGTTGTTCAGTTCAAGTGAATAGTTTATATATGCTCAAGTTGATTTGCTGACTATTTGTTTAGTTCTAGTGAATTGTTAGTCATGTCCTGGGTGGTTTTGAATCTTCCAGTAAATTCTATGTTTAGTTCATGTCGGTGCGGGACCCACAGGATACCCCGCAAGGAAGAGAGAAGATCTAGTCTAACTAGGATTCTCCCCATGTAATCATAGTAGTAGTATTATTTTGTAATCCTACTAGGAACTCTCATTGTAAACCGACTAGGAATCTGATCTCCTGACTATATAAAGGAGGGTAAGGTTCCTAGAGAAGGGAGATAAGGATTTTTACAACACAATCAATCCAACGCAAAGGCTAACGCCGACTGGACGTAGGGCTGTTACTCGACCACAGTCGAGGGTCTGAACCAGGATAAATCGACTATCTCTTGCGTTCACCGTCGAAGTTCCGTGATACGTGAAGTTCGAACAATATCGCCTCGAGGGACCCCGTAAGGCGGCTAAGCTATCGGTGGTGAACATCGACAACCGGGCGCTGTAGGGGCTTTCGGCGAATTTGCATCCGAGAGCTCGATGGACCTCAACAACATGATCTTCTCAATGGGATCAACTTTCATCTTCGGCTCTTGGATCTACGAGACGAACAACAACGGCAAGCTCCAAGGTCGTCTCCTCGAAGATTCAAAACACCATGAAGACTATTCTGTTCCGACGACCATGACAGATCAAATATCCGGAAGATTCGCGCAGCTCATAGTGTCTGATTCAACTCAGGTTCCGCAGCTTTGCGCATTCGACTTGAATTCAAGATCCGCATCCGAGTTGGAGTCTTATCCAAGTCCTTTCGGGAAACTGAGTTCTTTTCCGATGGGACTTAAGAACGTGGCCCTGACCTATCAAGAATACAACTCGGAGTACGCGTAGAACCCCTTCAAGAAGTCGGATCTTCCTCCACTCGGACTCCTCAACATGGCAACATCTTATCAGGCACGGCTCAGAGAAATCCTCGATCCAGTACTAAGAATGCCACTGAAGGGAGCTCAAGAAGGCCTCGCCCCGATCAGAACATCGCAAGATCAAGATTGTTCACCGGCCGGACTCGCTCTCGAGGATAACAAGACCGAATCGACAACACGACGACGACGGCTATTCTACCTTACTAAGAAGGAGACTCGATCACGACATCGAGGCATCTACTAAAGTCATCAACAACTTCGACAAAGATGAAAACTAACGCCAATAATGTATCGGCTCACGACGGAAGTATTCATGGTTCTGGACGCCCTCGGTCACCATTTAATCCCCTGTAAGCACCCGATGTCGTCGTCATCGATGAATCAGAATCCAACATATCACCCTTTGCCTGTGGCTACGATGGAGAAACCGAGAGTCGAAACAAGATAGAGAAAGAAAAACAAGTTGAAGCAAGGGCGCCAACACCGCATAGGCTAAACAGTAGGAAGCCTCGGATCGACACGAGTCGAGTTGGGTGAATACAATGTAAGAAAATCACAACGAGAAGTCGAAGGAAGACGCACGGCAAATACGCCTTA